TGCTTCCTCAGAAAGCCGTATTATTCCTCACCTATATATATAATGGGGTACTCCGAACCACATATTTTCCTGACTCTTGGAAACTATCCATTGTCAAAATGATACCCAAACCCACAAAGCCGCCAGAATACCCATCCTCTTACCGTCCTATCTCTCTTTTACCCATTATGGGCAAAATCCTAGAAAAACTCATCTTAAAACGCCTGTATCCCATCCTAGATTCTAATAACATAATCCCAGATCACCAATTTGGATTCCGTACATCTCACTCCACTATTCAGCAATCTCATCGTGTGGTAGACGTGGTTTCCTCTGCAATGGAGCCCAGAATGTACTGCACGGGAGTCTTTCTCGACGTTGAACAGGCGTTTGATAGAGTCTGGCTGAAGAATGGTCTCAAAACTGGAGGATTAAAATAAACTCCAATAAATCTCATCAAATTACCTTTACCCTGCGTCGCAAACATATGACCTCCTGTCCTACAGTATTCTTTAACAATTCCCCACTTATCCCAGTTGAAAAAATCCGTTACCTAGGACTCCACCTCGACAAACGACTCACATGGAATCCTCATACAAGACTGAAATGACAAGAAACCGCTCGAAATTTCTGACTACTCCAACACTTACCAGACCAACGCTCTAAGCTTTCAATCAATTACAAACAACTCATACATATGACAATAATAAGACCTATCTGGACTTACGGAATTGAGCTCTGGGGCTCTACTAAACCATCAAATTCCTCTCGTATCCAATCCTTACTATCCAAAATCCTCAACGCTCCTTACTTTGTCACAAACAAAATCATCCATAAAGACCTTAATGTTCCATGTGTTTCCGATTTGGCCCAATCCAGATACCTATCCTTCCATAACAAACTGCAGAACCATCCGAACCCTCTTGTTTCAAGCCTTGCTTCCTCCTCAATCCCTGATAACCTTCCGAGGCGTCTGAAAAGAGGATGGCCTCGGGATCTTCTAATATAGAACTTTAATTTGAGTTCTACTAATGGGTAGTTTCTCTTCATGTTTTATATCTCATGTTACCAATGTCACATTTGCTTGTTGTATTTTTAATGTAATACATTTGTAAATTTATTAAAATAAAAATTAAAAATATATATGTAATGGAACAATGGAGGGGACTTAAGCCGCTGTGGATAAAGAAATCAAGAATATCAGGATTACAGTTAGGGTCTGTGGGCCAGTAGGTAGGAGAGTTGTGAGAAAGGAGGTGAAAACGTTTGGAATTGATTGCAGACAGCAGGGTTCGGCTACGAGAATTCGTGGTTCTGGAACCCCATTGGTGGGGCTTGGCATTTAAGTCTGCACCCAAGATGAAGTGATATCCTAAGGAATTGAGGAGAGAACTGAATTGGGCATTGGATATGAATCGGTTAGGAGGGCAATACGCTGACGCGAGTGTAACCGGAAAGGAGAAGACTTTTATTACGATAGCGGTGGATTGTAGGTAATGGGAGTATGTGATGGAAGAGGGATTGGTGTACTATGACAGCAGTACCGGCATGTGCTCTTCCGTCTTACACTTATGTAGTATAATCTTGTAACTTCGTAGATTTTTTCGATCCCGGGAGTCAGTGCAGGTCTATAAACAATAGAGGTAGAGGAACTTTTACTTCTGGCTGTTTCTTACTCTCCTTTAGAACATTTGTTATCTGGTACACTTTGAAACCTAAAGTTTTTAGTTCTTCTTCTATGGTTTCAGTTGGTTTTGAGGGGTGTAGGTTACTTACAATTACTCTTAAAGCTCGCTCCTGCCTCAATTGATACGTTTGAAAATCTGCTTTGGTCTCTGTTAGATACTTCACAATTTTTCTATAGGTCTCAGTTGCATGTGGTGATATTTTGGTGTCATTCATTCTGTCTAGACAAGAGTAGCTTCTGGAGCCTGCTATCTTGTTTACTTGAGAACACAGTAATTGAAAATGCTTTATATTCTTAACGAATATCGGTGCGGACTCCATTACCTCACTGACATTGGGAAGCACCTGATAGATGTTTTGTGTAAAAAAAGGGGATTCTTCAATTGTCACTTGTGATGATGTATCTGGTTGAGGCTGAGGTCCTTCAATGTTCTCTTGTAGTGATGTACGTGGTTGGATTTCATGTTCTTCGGAGGTAACATAGGAGGTGTTTGACGAGATTTACGAGGCTTTTGTTTGACCGGAGAAGAAGATGACGGTGTCGGGCCTGACGATGTAGTTCTCTTATTATCCACTCTACTAGTGATATTTATGGTAATGGTAATAATAATAATAATAATAATAATTTAAAAAAAGGATGTTGATAACTGTACACAGTAAATATCAACTTTCTGGCGTATTCTTGACCTGTTTTAAGTGAAGAGTAACAGAGAATCTTCTCAAAAAGCAGTAAACAATGAGAGCTGAGTTGGAAACACAACCCTGCTCATCAGCTGATCAATCAGCTGTTCCTTCTTAATTATTAAAGACTGTAACAGCCATTTAAATCATATCATAACAATGGTTTGAGACAAGAAGATGTAATTGGCACCAGTGAACTACATTTTTGATGAACTATACTATACCTCCCATAATTACTGACAATTCTTCCGAAGATAAAACAAAATTTATATAGGAAATCTTATCATATAATATAAAATATATAATATAAAAATTATCTATACTGACCAACATTGAATTTTTTAGGAATTGCAGGTTTAAAAATTTGTATGTTTGATTTAAAATTAGCCTTAATTTGACTTCTTACGAACAAAATTGAATTTTCTTTTCTAACCATTTCTTAGTTTTAATTTTGTCCTATATAGAGTTTTCATAGTGTTGATAAACTATGTTAATATATTAAAAATGTTAATAATTTAAAATGTTTCTCTTACTTACTATAAAATTTTTTTTGTAAAGTGTTATAATGTTGTCATTAACAAAAATAGTGTTTAATTTTTGCAATGCCTTATTATTCCAGGTGGTGAAGGTCAATTCATACTTGAAACAGTTATAGTAGATGGAAAAAATAAATATGGACCAATAACATTTACTACAGAATTAGGAAAACCAATGTTAAAAATACATAATGCAGGAATGTACATGTTCCCTTTAATAAACAAAGCAATAACTTCTGAAGTATTAAATGTTTCTTGTTCAGATTCTAGAGAAATATACTTTATTATCAAGAAACCTCCAATGTACGGGAAACTTTTAGTTAGTGGTAGTGAGAATACAACAAATTTTACTCAGTCGGACATTCTAAATTTGAAGGTTTCTTACGAGCACACAAATTCATTTAAAAATTCTTCATTGGAAGATTCATTTGTTTTTGATTTTTATGCAGACTTTGTGGAGCCATTGAAAGAAAATGTAAGAAATTGAAATATATTAAAAGTACTTTTTGTTATATAATATTATTTATTTAATTTTTCTCTATAAATTTACTTTATGATATATAAAACAAGTATATTTATATAAATTATTTTAATGTGTGTGTTTTTCAGGTTTTCAAAATTAATATTTCTGTTTTCTTTGGAGGGCTAGATCACATATATGAGATTTCTCAGCTAACACTGACTGTTGAAGAAGGAAGTTACACTTTCTTTCAGATGAATACTTCTGGAATCACTGCAATTTTAGAAGAAAATATAGGAATAACAGACCCTGATTTACTGGGATTTCTCAGTTTGCCACCTTCACATGGCACTATATGTATTGCTGAAGACTGTAATGTCACTGTTTTTTCTGATAAGCAATTACAATCTGGTGCTATTATATATCAACACGATCATTCTGATACAACTTCTGATTTCATAATAATATCTTTATACCTAGTACCAAGTGATGTTTTACTTATTAATGTCTCAATTACTATATACATATTGCCTGTCAATGATCAACCATTTCAACTGTTAACAAAAAATCCTCACATAAATGTTGTCCATGGTCAAGAAGTTGTTATAACCAAAGATCTGCTGTATACAGATGATTTAGATACAAATTCTGAAAACATTATCTATGAAATAATCAATGGACCAAATATTGGAAGCCTCAACTTACTGAACACTACAGCTACTAAATTTTCTCAAAGTGATATAAATCATGGAAGAGTATATTACAGCCATTCTGGGCTTTTAGAGCCAGTTTATTTTCAATTCAAGGTATTTGATGGTCAATTCGAACCGGTTTATGGAATATTTAATATATCAATTTCTGAAATTAAACTGAATATTTCAGTGATTTCGAGCATTGAATTAAAGCAGGGTTACAACAAAACGTATATAACAAATGATATTTTTCTAATTGAAACTAATGCTGACCAAAATAATATTAATTTTAGTATTAGTGTTGTTCCATTGTATGGAATTATTTATGTTAATGAAAATCCATCTCTTTCTTTTACTTTTCAACAGTTACTATCAAAGGAAGTGGCTTATCTGCAATTGGATATGACTTCACCTAATGATACTTTTAAAATGACTGCATTTAATATTTTAAATAACAAATTGATGATAACTTTAAATGTGAATGTTACTGTTTTACCTTTAATTAGTATAGGTGAATTTTCACCGATTTCAGGATTTAAATCTAAAATTGATCTTTCTATATTAGATTCCTCAGCCCTGGCTAAGTCAACTAATTCAAATCCTGTCTATAAAATTTTAAAGCGCCCTAAACATGGACGATTAAAGAAAATTATACGTGTTACAGGTGAGCATAAAATTATTAGAGAAAAAGATATATCTAGATTTACACATAAAGAAATACAGAGCAATGTCATATATTTTGTTCCGAAGAAAACTGTTGAATCAATAGAAGACACATTTACTTTTATTATCAGCTGTTCTTCATTTCAACCTGCTATTGGAGAATTGAAGTTTAGAATACTTGGGGAATCACCTTCAACAACCTTTAAACCACCCAAGTTAAGGTTGCCAAAAGTTTCAGTTGAACAAGATGGTGTCCAGATTGCATCACCTAATATGAGTGATGATTATTTATTAGGTTTATCAATGGTGACTGGTACTATTGCTTTGGCATTGGTTATTGTCGGGTTCGTTAGTTGTGGGTCAAAGCAAACTGCTTATGATAATTCATTGAAATCTGATTTACCTGATTCACTTCCCAGGCCTCCTGATGAGCTGACATCCTCTCCACAAGTTGAATTAAGAAATGCTGTAAATTCTTCTTCAACTACATTACCTCAGCAAAAAATGTCCAATAACTCATTAACTTCTTCCGAACTAGAGCTAAATCTTCGGTATCCATATGGTGATGAAGATTGGAACAGTTTCAGTAATAATGATAACTCTACTGAAAAGAAAAAACATAATCCAATGTTGCGAAAAAATCAGTATTGGGTATGAAAATAAAAATATTTAGGTAATAACTTAATTTTTTTAAATATTACAAAAAAAAAACAGACTATATACATATATATCCATGTATATATATATTTATATATATATATATATATATATATATATATATATATATATATATATATATATATATAGTTAAATACAGTTTGCTCAGGTTTAACATCATTTAAATTTTTTTATGAATATGTTTAATTTAATAAATGTATATCATATGTTACTGTTATGTTCTATACCGACCTAATAGTTTTGTATATTTTTATATATCTTTGTAATTCTTAATTTAAAAAAAAAGTAATCATGTCTTTTATCTATGACTGACCTTTATGTTATTTATGTTTTAATATAATTATGTATGTATGTGTATATATATATATATACACACACAATTTTATTTTATTTTGAATAGTTTAAGATTGTTAATGCAAGAAAGTACTGAGTAGATTTTAGAAAACTTTTATATATTATTTATTAAAAGAAAAAGAAGTGAACCAATCATTTATTATTTTATCCTTACTGATCTGTTTTGAGCTTAAGGCCTCATCCACATCAGCACACTGACCCTTGCACCACCACAAGCTTCCCATTTCATAACCATCCATCGCACCAATCTTAATCCATCAATCCTTACCCCATGACTGGCTATATTGGTGCACCAACCATAACAGTTCTGCTAGCATCAACAATTTATTTTGTATTTTAAATACAAATAAAGCACTCATTATTTTACATATTTTGAGAATATTATAGTCCATATGGAGTCAACCAATGTTAGGCAAAATTTATCTTAAATAATATATAATGAATAATTTATTGATATTTTCAACTAAGAATACAGAATATTCATATTTATCTTTTATCTAGATAATAAATAAATTCAAGTTATCTATTATCTTCTTATTTGTTTTTTGAATAATTTAACACTAAATTTATTTTACTTTGATGTAAGGGTCTATTTATATATTTTCGGAGCCGTGGTTTTTGAAAATGATCTTGTAACAATGGAGCAATTGTAATAATTATTACATATTGAAAATAGGTGAACTGAAATTACATTAATAATATATTGTGATTGCTTCCTGAGTTCATTTCGCAAAAATAATTCTCTTAGAACCTTAACTGTTACATGGCGCCCAACTAAGGAAAGAAGTACAAACGATATTCAAGACACTGTCTCAGAAATCGTACCTTCTCACCGAAAACAACCTCAAAGAAATACTTTCATTCACTGTGACAACCACTTGTCAAGCAATTAAAAGTATTAATGAAGCGAGACGCTGAAAAGGAAGTCTCCTAGATTGCCTGTTTCGTTTTGAAGGATTCTCAGAGGTGGATCGTTTCATATCTGGTATCGAACTATACAAAAGAGACAAGAATGTTGAAGAAACCAGTGCACCACCATCTGGAAACTGTTCTGCCACATCTTTTATCCAGTATAGCTGCTGACTGGTACCATGATAGCTCAAATTCTATAACATCTTGGTCTTACGCAATTACGTTGCTCAAAGAAACATTTAAATTAATCCAGCCTCCTTATTTAACGTTTCTTCAGATTTTTTTGAAAACCACAGACACCCAAATAAAACATCAGAATATATTTTTCAATTCCAAAACCAAGTATCTTTACTTCCATACAGTATTAGTGTTGATATTCTTTAGGATATTGAAGCGAAAATTAAGCGGACCTTTCTCTGTCAGTTGTGAATGAAAGTCAGAAGACTGACAAGGATTGCTCCAATCATGATGAACTCTATATGTTCATTCATTACTGACCATTTTAGCTCAGTTGACAGAGAAAACAGACAGGATGGGTTTAGAGCATTGTTCACTTATAATAAGGTTTTTAATTTAAACAGCTTATTTGAACATTATCCTTTAAAGCATTGGACATCAAGAGGAAAATGGAGTTATAATAATTATTTCCTTTTTTTTTTTACTTATTTATTCAGAAATATTACAATCTGTCACAATTAAGGACATTTATAACAGTGTTTAGAGAGCAAATTCACACTCTATTTACAATAAATAATACAGAAACTAATAATAATAAAAGTAAATGTACATAAACAAAAAAACTAAACTAATCAAAATACCAACTAAAACACATACATACTATACAATATTTACAGAATCCATTCACTCAGAAGAACTCCGTGCCAAGCCTTTCTCCCCACTCATGAAAGGAAAGGCAGGACTCTAGGAGATCCCAGCGCCTCGCACTGAGCCGCATTACTGGTATTAGATATCAGGAGAGGCGCTATAATCACACATACTTGGCTTGGGTGGAGGATCTGGCCATTGCCAAAACTCCAATATATGCCTATTCACAGAAGGTCTCTGGGCCACTGCCGCTTCAACCTTCGAGGAGGATTGTAAGGATGGGTGTTGCTGGATAGGGATTGTGCAAGGGGATTTGGATGATAGGTAAGGTTCTGGTGAAATTTGGAGAATTTTTCTGGGATAAGGTCTAGGACATAGAAAGGAGCATCGACTATTGTTCGAGGTCTTTGGACTGGAAGGATTGGATGCAATTGAAGTTAGAAAATTTTGCTGTTCCCCACAGTTCAAGTCCGTAAGTCCAAGTAGGTTTCAGTATTGTCTTGTAGATAAGTATTTTGTTTTCAACAGAAAGTTTAGATTTTCTATTTAGTAGTCTGTATAGTTGGCCATATCGTCAGTTAAGTTCCTGTCTTTCTAGTCTGTTATGTGGGTTCCATATTAATCTTCGGTCTAAATGGAAGTCAAGATACCGGACTGTGCCTGTGTAAGGAAGCTGGATGGAATTAAAGTGTATAGGTGGAGAGGAATTGCGTCGGAGTGTATAGGTAATATGTTGGCATTTAGATTCATTAACTTTAATGCGCCAATTATTACACCAGTGCTTAATCAAGGAGCAACCCCTCTATTTCGGGATCAGAGTTGGGTGATAAGATTGTGGTGTTGTCAACGAATGTTGCAAGTAAATTATCGGTAACAGGGATGTCAGCAGTAAAGAGGATGTTGAGCACGGGACCCAAGACGCTGCCTTCGGGAACACCGGCTTTAACGGAGTAGATATAGGAAAATTCTGTTCCACATCGAACTCAAAAGGAGCGGTCAGAAAGGTAGGATCGGAGGATTGAGGTAAATGGAGTTCTGCGCATGCGCTAGTATCTAACAACCCACCTGCTACATCGTCTCTCACAAGTATCTTAATTATTAGTGAATTTGTGAACTGTTATGTTAAAAAATCAGTGTAATTAACAATTATATAGTTAATTCTTGAACAGAACCATAAACACGGTGAGTAACCGCTTGTTTATTAAGTTTGAACAATAGTGTAAACAACCATAGAATTAGATAGAGTGGCCATTCTTATCTGCAGTCCCCCCACTGCCCGGCAGTCTTAGTACCTGTCGAGTTTTTTAAGTAGCTGGTTCATATCACTCGGCTCTCTATCGGTCTGCGTAATTTTTACGTAAAAAAAAAAAAACTTTTTCAATAGTCGTTGACATGAAATGCGATATTATCATATGATAATGTCTAGTAAGAACAAAAGATCGAGAAGCTTAGGCAATAATAGTTCTCTCAATTCGCCAGTAAAGCAAAAGCCTAGGCGTTCTAACAGAAAAACACCACCATCTACACCTGACAGACCAAATGAACCACAATCTGGTACCTCAACAGAAATTATGACCACCGAAACGAACTTTGAAACAGATGAATCACCATTTTTTACTCCTAACCCATACCAACTACTATCTAATACTCCAGAAGAAACAATGGAAATACCATCAACTCCCAGAGAGCCAAAACCACCTCCAATATTTATAAAAAATATAAAAAAATTTCCGTTATTTTGCCAGCATTTAAATAAATTACTTGACAATGGTAAATACACATGTCAAAGTCGAATCAATGACACCAAGTTAATGCCAGATTCCCCTGAATCATATAGAAAAATAGTAAAATACTTGACTGATACAAAGGCGGAATTCTATACATATCAGTTATTCCAAGAGAGAGCAGTAAGAGTAGTAATAAGAGGCCTCCACCCATCAACTCCACCTGAGGCAATCAAAGAAGAATTGACAGAACTGGGTTTCAGTGTCCGCCAAATTGTCAACGTATGTAAAGATAACAAAGAACAACCAGGTACAAACAACAAAATAGCCCTACCACTTTTTTTTTGTAGACCTAGAGCAAACCACTGGGGTTGATAACATCTATAAATTAAGACGCCTGTACTATACTAGTATAGTTGTCGAGAAACCATATGCAAAGCGGGAAATAGTCCAATGTCATAATTGCCAATCATATGGCCATACTAAAAGCTATTGCCACCGCTTAACGCGATGCGTGAAGTGCGGGCAACAACATAAGTCGGAAGATTGCAGTAAGTCCAAGGAAATTCCTGCGGTATGCGCATTATGCCATAAAGATCACCCTGCAAACTACAAAGGATGTCAGACATATAAAATCTTAAAATCAAAATTACAAACAGCACCTAGACATGAAGAGACTTACAGGACTCCCAGACCACCAAGGCAACCCTCAAGATTTGCAAACAAAGAAGTCTCTTATGCACAAATGTAAGGAGAACTAGAACAGCATTCTCAACCTCAGGCTATGCCGCAAACTCAGCCATTACCTCATGGTTCACCACCCGAACATAATAACACCCAAAAGTTCAGTCCTCACCAAATATCCTACATTCCTCCCCCTAACAATTCCAATGACCTTACCAGCCTCCTTACATCATTCCTCTCCGAAATCAAATCCCTCATCACCCCGCTCATTACCTTACTTACAAACGTCATAGCCAATCTTATTCAACCGCCAAGAATTCCTTGAATGTCCTCAATAAAACCCCTCTCCATTCTCCTTTGGAATGCGAATGGTTCGAAATCACATTAACGAACTAACCTTTTTTCTACAGGACAATAACATAGACATAGGCCTAATAACTAAGACTCGACTAACTAACAAAAGACAGTTCAACATACCTGGCTACAAGATATATCGAACTGACCACCCTGATGGAACAGCACATGCTGGCACTGCTGTCATCATCCACCAATCCCTCTCCCATCATTTGTATCCCCTACCAGTTCACGATTTCCTACAAACCTCAGCAATAACTATCCAAACTTCACTTTTTCCTGTTACAGTTGTCGCAGCATACCCTCCACCTAAAAAACCAATACCTGAAACTAACTTAATTTCCTTGCTTAATTCCCTTGGACACCATTTCCTTATAGGTGCGGACCTTAATGCCAAACATCAGCAATGGGGAGCCAGAACCACGAATCCCCCCGGGCGAACATTGCTGTCTGCTCTTAATTCCCATAACAGCAACATCCTTTCTCCTGATACTCCTACATACTGGCCAACAGATCCTAACCGTAATCCTGAACTCCTTGACCTCTTCATTCACAAAGGTCTAGGGCCGCTAAATTTTTCAATTTCACGGCTCGATGACCTTTCCTCAGACCATAGTCCGCTGAACCTAACCCTTTCCGCATCGCCTATATCCAAATTATCTCCTCCCTCATTCATCAGAGGCCCAGTCAACTGGAACCTTTTCCGCCAAACAATAACAGATGCAATAGACCTCAGAGTACCCCTCAAGACCTAGATAATGCAGTGAGTTCCTTCA